AGGGAGTTCCTTTTGTCAGTAAGAACTGTTCATGCAACCAAAGGCTTGCTCACTTTCACTGATAGACACAGCAATGGTGTGGACAGCTTTTAGCAGAGGCTTCAGAGCTTCTGGTGTCTGGGATCTCCTCAGCTCCTTTTATTTCTGAAATCCTTGTAGACTCCTTCTCCTCTCCACTCTTAACCTGTCACACAAGCGGCGCACCTCTTCATCCCCATGTTGTATGTCCAGTTCTCCCTCAGGCCAAGTCTCTGGCTGAAGAGCCTTTATGTCTGTTATCAGTTGACTGTTAACTCTGTGTGAAAAGCCCTTGTGATTTCTGACATGAGAGGAAGTTGTTGGAGACACACTGCATTTAATATTTTCAACCATGCTGCGGAAGAACTTTCCTGTGTGAATCTTCACAATTCTCAGATTGTCATGCAGGGCTACATTCTTGAAGGACTCCTCTGTTTGAGCTTGAAGAACACTTTTTGTGTATGGGCCTGGTAAGGAAACCCATGACTCAAAGACTCAAACCTGTCGAGCCAGCAGCTTGTCTGCTACAGGCAGCGTTATGTCTCTCTTTTGGAGTAACATTGACAGATCACTGAGTTCTGTGAGGGCATCATACCAAGGTTGAAAACAGAGGACATTGAGGTGAAAAAAATCACAGTCCCTTGTATTTTGCTCTCTCTGTTGAATACCTTGTAATATCACAGTCCTCTTACTTGTAGCGACACATCTTACTGACAAAACTCGTAGAATTGAAAGGAGATGTTGCCCAACACTGTGCACAATGGCACAGTTCTCTTTTGTTTTTGAGTAAGGCATGATATACAGTGTAGAGCAGGGGTGTCAAAGTCAAATGGACGGAGGGCCAAATAAAAAATTTTGCTACAAGCCGAGGGCCGGACTGATCGAATGTTCATTGAAAATTTTTTAAATGACGCATATAGTCTTGTGAACCTAATTGAACCTACTGAAAACTTAACAAATATATTCCAATATGATCAGATAAATAAAGCAATAATTTCTTATGGCTCTGTCAGTAATCTTTAATTTTCAACAGACACAAAAGACAAATTTCCTTTATATAAAAATCCCCATAACATGAACATTAAATGAAAGAAACCGGTATTATTCAAGGCAACATCAGTAGCCTATATTTTCTATTTTAGCAAAAGTGGGCTAAATTTACTTCAAAGAAAAAAATAATAATAGCAATTTTCTATCATCCACTCAACTGAAATATTTTTAAAATATCGTTTTAATTCCTCGGCCTTCTGTAGCCTTTGTTCCATGTCCATATTCTTGTTTTTGTCCGCGTGTTTCGTTTCATAATGTCGTCTCAGATTATACTCTTTCAGTACCGCCACACTTTCTCCACACAGAAGACACACAGGTTTTCCAGCTACCTCCGTGAACATATACTCCGACTCCCACCTTGTTTGAAACCCCCGGTTCTCAGTGTCCACCTTCCGTTTTGCCATTTTTGATGGATATCTGAAAGTTAATTTTACTGTTATGCTGACGACTGCTGTGCTAATAAATATTGAAATGAAGCAGCCTACTGCTCGGTGCGTCACCGTTGCATTGTGGGAAATGTAGTATTGGTGCGTGTAAAAGATCTGCGGGCTGCCGGCTTGCTGCGGTCTGCGGGCCGGTTCTAATAATAAATCAAGATCATCCCAGGGGCCGTAAGACCCTAAACCTTCTCGCGGGCCGGATGTGGCCCGCGGGCCTTGACTCTGACATATGTGGTGTAGAGCTTGTCAAAGAAAATCTTAAAATGATAAAGTCTGCGGACCTCGACAACATCAACGACTGCCAATTCCAGACGATTATTTGAGCTGTGCCACACATACATGTGAAATCTGGTACAAAGTTGTGTAACAACCCAAGCTCTTCTGCCCAGCATTACTGACGCTCCATCACATACAAATGCCACAAAACACTAATTAAAGAAGCGGTCATTGAAGTCATTTTTATTAAGACATGCTAGCAGTTTCTCTATTATATCATTTGCTGTGGTCCCATCCAACCCAAGCAGGTCAAAAAATATTGTGTCTGGCTCTGCACTGGCAATAGCTGACTGCAAACTCACCACCAATACAGACTTTCCACTGACTGTGGTGGATTCATCAATCAACACACACAGTTTTCATATGTTTTTTGACCCTGTTATCAACTATTTTTTTTCATCTCTGTTGAAACATGATCAATGGAATCAGCATGTGTTATTGGAGTACAGAACTCGACCCATGTTGACTCTGTTCAGCTCCTGCAGTTTCACATCAACTGGCTTATCTGTGAATGGACGTCCATGCTTACCAATTCTGTTGGCTGTTCGGAACACTCTGCAAGTAGTATCATACTCCGTCTTGTGCATATCATAAATGTGTTTTTGTATTTCGTTGTGTGATGAGATTTTTTTCCGTCTGCTGCTTTTTTGTGTGCCTTAGAATCCCTGTGTTCTTTAATCTTTCTACACTGAGGACAGTTTTGTTGGCTTGTTGGCTCCAAATGCAGAGATTAAACATCCACCCCATTCATGCGAGAGCCTCAGCCCCTGATGTGCATGTGTAGCAAGGAACTTTATTTTACTGCACACCTTGCAGCTAAGCCTTTTATCTTTGCTTATGAGCCTCTCATTCTGTGCTCAAAAAGACCTGATCTGGTCGTTTGACTAGCACTCTGGCCATTCTGTGGGATTACTGTTGATATCAGTGGATGATCAGCTGTACAGTGCTACAGCTTCAGTGGATATAAAAAGTCTACACACCCCTGTCCAACTGCCAGGTTTGAGTGATGTAAGAAAATGACAGCAAGATAAATATTTTCACAACTTTTTCCACCTTTAATGTGACCTATAACCTGCACAATGCAATTAAAAAACAAACTGAAACCTTTTAGGGGAAAAATAAAATATAGAAAAGTTAAAATAGCCTGGTTGCATAAATACTGTATGCACACCCTTAAACTAATACTTTGTTGCACTACCTTTGGCTTTTATTACAGCACTCAGTCTTTTTGGGTAGGAGTCTATCAGAGTGGCACATCTTGATGTGGCAATATTTGCCCACTCTTCTTTGCAAAACCGCTCCATATCAGACAGATTGTGAGGGCATCTCCAATGCACAGCCCTCTTTAGATTACCCCACAAATGTTTGATGGGATTCAGGTCTGGGCTCTGGCTGGGCCATTCTAAAGTCTCAGTCTTATTCTGGTGAAGCCATTCTTTTGTTGATTTAGATGTGTGCTTTGGGTCATTGTCGTGCTGAAAAATGAAGTTCCTCTTCATCTTCAGCTTTCAAGCAGAAGGCCGAAGGTTTTGTGCCAGAGCTGACTGGTATTTGGAACGGTTCATAATTCTTCCCCCTGACTAAGGCACCAGTTCCAGCTGAAGAAAAACAGCCCAAAAGCATGATGCTGCCACGACCATGCTTCGCTGTGGGGATGGTGTTATTTTGGTGATGAGCAGTGTTGATTTTGCGCCAAATATACCTTTTGCAATGATGCCCAAAAAGTTCAACTTTGGTTTAATCAGACTATTACACATTTTCCCACATGCATTTGGGAGATTTCAGATGTCTTTTTGCAAGATTAAGCCGGGATTTGATGTTTTTCTTTGTAAGATAAGGCTTCTGTCTTCCCACCCTACCCCATAGCCCAGACATATAAAGACAGTGTCATCGTTGTGCCATATTTTACCACTTGATGATGATGGTCTTTACTGTGTTCCATGGTATATTTAATTCCTTGGAAATTCTTTTGTAGCCCTCACCTGACTGATATCTTTGAATCACTTTGATGCTTTGGAAGCTCTCTGCGGACCATGGCTCTTGCTGGAAGATGTGGCTAAAAAATGTCAGGAAAAGCCTACTAGAACAGCTGAACTTTATTTGGGGTTGATCAGAGGCACTTTAATTGGTGACAGGTGTGTGCTGACTTCAATTTAACTTGAGTTTGAATGTTATTGGTTAAATCTGAACACAGCCACATCCCCAGTTAATAAAGGGTGTGCACACTCATGCAACCACATGATCTCAGTTGTTTATTTTTACTTCACCTTTCTTGAAAGATTTCTGTTTGTTTTTCAATTGTGTTATACAGGTTATAGGTCACATTTTATGTGGAAGAAGTTGCAAAATTATTTATCATGATTTAATTTTTTTACATGACAAAAACCTGGCAGTTGAACAGGGGTGTGTAGAATTTTTATGTTCACCGTGGCTGCTTCCTCCTCGTCATTTTCTTCAAAATTACTTCTGCCTGACCTCCCGTGTCGTTCTCACCATCACTGCCAGTCTGGGTTCTTTATTGGCCCTTCTGGAGCCACACCAACATTTGTGACCAGGATTGGTTCACTCAACCATCAAGCTGTAGGCTAAACTACTGTAAACTGGTTTCGACTACAGAGGGTTTCAACTCAGGCTGTTGACATTCAACGTCGGCGAGATCTCTTGATCGTGTCCTTTCCCTCACACTTGACTCCCCGCACCTCGGGCAGGCATGTTGGTGCATCCCGGTGCATACTGCAAAATGAAGTATAGCTATAGGAGTAGAGAGAAAGAGAACAGGACAGGGTACTATGAGCTCATGAGAAGTCCAGGTAGGCCATAAAAAGTCCTGGTACGCATGAGGCTAAAATCCAGAAGTGCCGGTACACCATACCAGAGAGTACCGGCCCACTTAAAGCACTGGACGTATGAAGATTGCGTAGATCATAGTGGCTTTCCCACCAAACGCAACCGCGCAAATGCTGGTTTCAGGAAATGGAGAACATCCCAGAAATACAGAGAAAAATTTGGCTTCAAATTCATACAATAATGGGAGGCAGAACCCCACTATGTACAGGCTATGGTGTAAATCCCTGTCTCCTACCATGCATTAAAATAATAATAATAATAAAATCATCATCATCATCATCATCATCATCATCATCATCATCATAATGCATTTTATCTATAAGCGCCTTTCAAGGCACTTAACAACATCTTACAGAACAATTAAAATGACTCATCAATAAAATAGTACAGTAAATAAAATACACATCAACACAATAAAAGTTTTAAATAAAAAAGTTGTAAGTCATAAGTAAGCCTGGACTCTGCGGCAGAATATTAATTCTCAGTCTGAGTAGGCCTGTCTAAAATAATGTGTCTTCACACAGGATTTGAAAATGGACAGTGAGTCAATGTTCCTAATGTCAGGGAGGAGGGAGCTTCAAAGGTGGGAGGCAGAGTGGCTGAAGGTTCTGGATCCCATGGTGATGGAGATGGAGATCCTGGGGGCTCTGTCATTGCGAGTCCAGCGCTGTATTACTCTACCTGTGAACATAATAAAAGGTTTATGTGAAACCTGAAGACTTCTCTGGTTGTCCTTGAGCAGTCAACTAAAGCACTGATTCTTACAAGGAGTTCAGAGAGGTATCGAGAAGCAAGGTTGTGGATGACCTTGTATGTGTGGAGCAGAATTTTGTAGTCCAAGTGGTATTTTATGGGAAGCTAGTGAAGTTGGCGGAGAGCAGGTGTGATGAGATTGACAGATGGTGTTCTGGTGATACAGGTGGCAGCATTCTGGACCAGTTAAAGCATATGGATTGATTTATGGGGGAGACCAATGAGAAGAAATTTGCAATAACCCTGGGGGGTTTGTAACAAGAGTATAGACGAGGATGACGGTGCTGTTGGGGGTGAGTGATGAACGGAGGCGATTGATGTTTTGAAGATGGAAGATGGCTGACCAGGTTATGCAATTAATGAGTGAGTTTGGAATGACAGAGTGCTGTCCAGGACAACACCCAGACACTTGACCTGAAGGGAGGGGGAAACAAAGGAGTTGTGGAAGGGGATGGTGAAGTTGGGAGTGTTACTGAGGGTAAGAATAAGAATACGAATAAGAATAACTTTATTTATCCCCGAATGGAAATTCAATGATCTGGATCTGGTGCCAATGAGGAGAACCTCAGTTTTATCACTGTTAAGTTTCAGAGAGTTGGATGCGAACCATGATTTGATTTCCTGTAGACAGTCACAGATGGAGGAAGGCGGTATGGTGGGGGTGGGTTTTGTAGAGATACCCAGTCATTTGCACAACAATGAAAATTGATATTAAGTTTACAGAAAATGTGACCAAGAGGGCGGAGGTAAAAAATCACTCACCTTTTGGCAAAATTCACCATTTTGAATCCGAAATAGGTGACCTACCTGAATTGTGTATGTCAGGTGAAAGAGTATTTTCAGTGGGGGGGTATGGATGGGACAAGGAGCTAAACCAGGAGTTTTATTAGGCCTTTCGTTTTATACACTAGAGCAGCACGGAGCCATAGTGAGCTGCAAATGTGTGTGCTCACCTGAAGGGAGCCTTGAATTTAACAAGCCATTCCCCTATTAGTGTTACAGCATTGAAATATTTGCACAAATGCAGAGGAGAGTAATTCTTCCTAATGGGTTTGTGCTGGCCAGAGTGCTTTGAGCTGGCCTAAGGGCATATGACAGTTGCATCTAATTGGACAATTTGGACGTTTGGACTTGAGAGGCTAAAGATAACATCGACTGATGCAAGCTGATGTGAGCTTTCCATGACTATACTAGCTAGCTACATTACAGAATCTAGGTAAACAAAATAACATTACATTGAGTTAGCAATTTTTTTGTAACTTCCCTGTCATGTGTCAAAGGACATGTTATTTGAATCAAGCAAGTAATATTAGTCAGTGGAAGGTACGAAATTGGTGTGAAACCCGGGGCCTCATGTATCAACGCTGGCGGCGCCAGAAAACCTTGCGTTCGCCAAGATCGGCGCACACATCCAGATTTATCATCGCGACACGAGCGTCGGTTCCAGCACAAATCCACGCAAAGTGAGGAGGTGGTGTAGAAGTTGGTGTTGAGCCGATACTTGCGTTGACGGCACTTTGGCGACGCTGTGTGGCGGTGTTTGGTGACTCACTATGTGACAAGTGTGCACCACATCCCCGTGGCCGAGCAGCACGTCGCCCCACATGACGAACCAGCAGCAGACGGAGGGATGCGAGCTGATCCCTGCCGGGCCGCCGTCCTCGTGTGGGAGAATCTCATCACCACAATGTGAATGGGTAAGAAGTGAATACACAGTTCAATGAGCCAAATTAATTTATTTTCTCCACCAGATGCTCGAGAACATTTACGAGCTGGTCCAGCCGCTCGTTGATTCCCGCGATCCCCCTGATGATTTCTTCCTGCGATTGCAGGACCGCCTCCGTGAGGACCCTTCCACTGCGTCCGGGTCGTCCAACGGAAGCGCCGCGGCTGGTGGACGCTCCACCACTTGTCGGCGCGCTGGTGCTGGTGCTGGGGCCGGGGGCCGGGTTGGCCCGAATGCCGCTGGTCCTGGCCGACGAGCCAGCGGACAGGCTACCGTGGGCCGGGGTTCCGCAAGCCGGCGACACGGCCGACACATTGATATCTATAACGCAATAAAAATATTGGTTTATTTCAATTCCTGCTTCTGTGTATCTGTTGCATTTACATCTATGGCAAATCATGTGGACATTTGTGTGACACGCCACTTACCCTCCGGCAGGCTGTCTGAGTCGCCGAGGGTAGCGGCGACAATCCCCCCCACAGAGGCGCCCCCCATAATCGCCACCACCCGCTGCTCAAACGGCGTGAGGGTCTCCTCCCCCGGACCCCACCTGTCTGGCCGGTACTCCTCCAGAGGGCAGCTGTACGCCGCTTGACCTCCACCTTGAGGTCCGACCACTTTTTTTAAAATCTCCGCGGGGGGGCGTGTCTCGGAAACCCACCGCGTTCACCCTCTTGCAAACTTTCTCCCACTCCAAGCGTTTTCGTTTTGCACTGACGCCACTGGACAGGCTGCCAAACAAAACATGCTGTCGCTCCTCCACCTCCGCCACCAGCACCTCCACCTCGCACGCCGTAAATTTAGTTTTTCTTGTCATTTTTTCTGCGTGCGAGGACAGGGAGACCCTCTTTAAAAAAATCTGCATATTTATAGGTGGGCGTAACGGGGGCGGGCCCGGTCCCTCCGACATCTGCGCTCAATTCCAAGCTGATTGGGATTTATCAAGGAAACACAAGTGGCCTTCAGCGCCCGCACACCTTGATACATACGAATTTTTTTCAGCGTGACGGACCTTGTGTGCGCTCGTTTCCGGTATGAGTCCCACGCAAGTGTTGATACATTAGGCCCCTGGTCATTCATACTATTATGGTCCTTTTCTTTATGTTACTAAATAACCTACCATATTATAACTGTAAACATATTTGCGTTCCAATCTGAAATCCAACTATGTATGTAAGACTAATGCAATGAGTAAATCAATTTACAATTTTACTCTGGAGGTAAGGATAGGCCTGTTGTTTATTTTCCTGAACTTGTAACTGGGGCCACAAATAATTAGGTAGCAGAGCAGGGCAAAGATCCCGTTATCCACTGTGAACCACATAGCAAATGCAGAGGAAGGTGTAGGCTTGTTAGTCAGCACAGGCAGCATAACCATCTAGGCATAGAGCACACTGCCAGTTCAGCTCTCTAGATTTACATTTATTATTACATTAACTTGCTAACTTGCCACAGTGTGAATGGGTAAGAAGTGAATACACAGTTCAATGAGACAAATTAATTTATTCCGACGAGCCGGCGGACGGGCTGCCGCGGGCCGGGGTTCCGCAAGCCGGCGACACGGCCGACACATTGATTTCTGTGACACAATAAAAATATCGGTTCATTTCAATTCCTGCTTCTGTGTATCTGTTGCGTTTACATCTCTCTCCACGGTATCATAGGTAATGTAATCCAGTATTTAGAGGTCAGTTGTGCACATCAGAGTTGTTTATTGCATAAAAAGTTATCGAAAAATGAAGTTAAGGGCGAAGTATAAATCACGTCCAAAAATAGACTGAATCCCGACGTTGAAATGAAGTATAAACTTAGACTAGATGTCTAATATACGTCTTTTGCTCAGTGGGATGGCAAAGCATGTGGACATTTGTGTGACACGCCACTTACCCTATAATACCCTATTTAAATAAATCTGCATATTTATAGGAGGGCGTAACGGGGGCGGGCCCGGTCACTCCGACATCTGCGCTCAATTCCAAGCTGATTGGGATTTATCAAGGAAACACACGTGGCTTTCCGCGCCCGAACACCTTGATACATACGAATTTTTTTCAGCGTGACGGACCTTGCGTGCACTCCCTGGTATGAGTCCCACGCAAGTGTTGATACATGAGGCCCCTGGTCTAGAGGTATTTTGGTAGACCGGCGGCGTATCGCCATACATCTAAGATGCCTTACCAGCAGGTTTCCACGGTGTCAGGCACATTTCAGTGCAATATATAATCAACAACAACTAATAATCTGGGTCAGCACATACATTTAGATCTATATAGATATATTCTGATCTGTATCTGATCTGATGAGCACATTTGGCACGGGTTTGGACACACAACCTGACTGAATCAACACAGCTGAAACTGCATTGAATTAAATTAAATATCTAGTAAATAGACACACATGATGAAGTTAACGAGATATGTAATTCGTCTCCCTCCTTTTCTTTCTTCCTCTTCCTCTTATTTCTCGCACAGCTCAACCTGGACATGTCTCCATGTCCTCTCCCTGTCCTGCTGCAGCTGCGGCAGCTGAACAGATGATTTGTTTCAGTGATCAGATGAGTTATTTACTTTAAGCCTACATACGAATATTATAATATTCAGTTTTGTGAGCCCAATTTAATTTAATGCCAACATCTATGAAAGAAAGAGCCAGGCCACGGAGCGCGATGCCACATTTACGCACAGATGGTTCCAATTTTAATGCCATTATTGGAATTTATGATGTGATCTCTGCGCACAACCTACCTTTGTCATGTGAGGTTTGAATATGTGCAACTTTATGTGAGTGTCTTTATTTGTGGAAAGGTTGTTTGTCTTACTAGTTGGTCCAACATTACACACACCAAATCCATCTGTGCTCGTATGAGAGAGTGTGGAGTGCGTTTACAGGGACACTTGTTTAGGGGCTGCCTTCTGTAGCCATTGTGTGGCATTGCTGTCTTCAGCCATCTCTTGATCTCTTTGACTACTTCACGAAAATTGGAATACGCCTCACCGGTGGTGGATTTAAAGGTGAGGAGAGGAGCTTATGTGATTGGTGAAAACAGGTGTCGGCTGTTTTAAACCCACTCCACGCCCTCTATCCTCCCCCCCTACGACTTACGCCGCTGGGAGGAGCTGAGTTAGGGAGGGGGATACTTACGCCGGGCTGCGCCACTCACCAAAATACAAAATTGTGCTTGGGAACGCCTTGTCGGTGCGGCAGACCTGACTTACGCTGCTGATGCGATGCGTTGCCAGGGAGGCACGAAAATAGAGCCCAATATGATTAAGTTGACTCAACTTGATGCTACTCTAATTCTACCTAACAAAATAAAGTAGAACTTACAAAAAAATGGTTTAGAAATTAAGTTTGACAAATATAAAAGAAGACAGCAAAGAAGTTACTACAGACCTAATTAAATAAATATTTCAAATGAAAACAAAAAAAAAGTGACTGGATTTACTCAATTTTTAATAGTATTAGCCAATTCATTCCTTTTTTAATTTTTTTTAATTCTTTTTTTTTTTTTCCAGTTTTCCAGTTCTGCTTACATAAAAATTACTTAATAAATATTAATAATGTGCCTATGAAGTAGAAGGTTTCTATATTCTTGTTTTTTTTCAGCAAATATGCGAAGTTACTATATCTGGTTTCCTTATTAACTGTATACTGTGCAAGACACTTTAAATAAGCAGTAGGGTAGAGCACAAACTCTTAAAACTTTTAGGGCTTGCTGGACTTCCGGTTTGCTGATGGCGGAGTAAGACGCACGGCGGAGTCACCCTCCCAGGCCTAGTAAAAATTACTCGCCTAGCAACTCGAAAAACTCATAATTATTTGAGTACAGACACGATAAATGGGAGAAGAACCACAAAAGACTGAGGAAAAAAGAAAAATGCCAGAAGCGCAAGAAAAAAACAACTCGTCGCCAAATGCTAACAACACTGGGCTAACTTCTCCTCTAACCCGTAGTGCAGCAGCGGCAAGCCAGAAAAATCCCTCAACAGACACTGACTCCGGAGAAGTTATCAGAGCGATTAATGCGCTAAAAACTGATATGCAGGGGCACATCAGTTGTGTGAAACAGGAACTCACTCAACTAAGGCAAGAAATCAACGGGAAACTCGACAGCCTGACAACGGCAGTGCAGAGCCTGTCTGACCACGTTGACGAGCCAGAGTCCCGGGTGGAGCAGGTGGAAGGATGGACCGAAGTGAGCTACCAGCATCTCAAAACATGGATCTGGCGCCCAGATCCCGACCCGATGCTCCCCCGAGACCTATCGTTGTTAACTTCTTGGAGTTTACCACAAAGGAGCTGATATTGAGAGAAGCCTGGAAAAAGAAGAAAATACAAGTGGGTGAAAGATTTGTCTACTTCGATCATGATTACGCACCGGAGATAGTTAAAAAGCGCAAGGAATATAACGCGATTAAAAAAGCCCTAAAGGAAAAGGGTATTCGCTTCCAGACACCACACACAAGCATGCAGATCCACTGGGCCACGGGAGTCCGCACGTACAACACCGTGCAGGAGGCACAGAGAGAGCTGAGGAAGTGCGGCTTCCCCGTGGAAGAACTGGAGCCAACTGAGGGAGAGAGCCCCGCGGAGACATGGCTTCTGGAGCTAATGGGATGGCAGCAGGCAGCCGGGCGTCGGGAGAAGGGGTCTGCCGCGGCCCGGAGGGCGAGGGAAAAACTCTGCGAGTTTCAGAGAGGACACACAGAGGATTCATAATCACGGAATTAACCTGCATTACCCGTATGAAAACTTTAAACTCGAGACTGACACGTGAGTGGTTCTTTTCCCCTTTTTTTCTAAGCTCTACACAGAGCATCCGCGCCTGGGAGAGGCGACTTCGTTTTCTATAATGTAAAAGTTGGACTAATAGGATGGTAGAGACAGTTTTGGACTCATTAGCCACCCTGAACACTGGGCCCTCTCGGAGTGAGAGGTTGCTCCCTCGACCCACCAACAGGGTCGCAAATGAGGGGGAGGGAGACACCCCCTCATCATGCAGTTCATTCTCAAGAGTTTCTTTTGTGGTGGCACTTGCTTGCTTGCTTTAAAGAAAATATATGATTGGGTCACACAGTCTGAAATGTGGATAAATGAAAAAGGATAAGGTTCAAATTATATTTGAAACATGAGAAGTTGAAAAAGTTTGGATATTTAAACTAATTTTTTAGTTCATGCGAGTACAGCCGTAAAAGAGGTGTTGCTACTCTGATATCCAACAATCTTAATTTTGAACTAATTAAGGAAAAGAGTGATGGGAAGGGTAGATATATAATTGTTAAAGGAAGGATTGATTACACTACTGTCACATTTGCTAATATATATGCCCCCCCAGAGAGCAATAGAAAATTCTTTAAGTCTCTATTTCACATATTATCCTCTGAAAGTGAGGGGATACTAGTCTGTGCAGGGGACTGGAACACAGTCTTGAACCACTCCATAGACACAACAAGTATAAAGAGATCTAAATGTCTTAAGTCAAGGGATCTTAACTTGCTAATTCGAGAAACAGGTATGTTTGATGTCTGGAGGAACCTTCATTCATCTGAAAAAGATTATACTCATTACTCAGGTACTCATCATGTTCATTCCAGAATAGACTTCTTTTTGATGAATGTTACTGATAGGCACAGGGTGAAGGAATGTTCCATAGGAACAGCGGATCTATCGGACCATAATGCAATCTATTTGACTATACATCTAAATGACAGACAGAAGTGTACATTGTGGAGATTAAATATCAGTGTCCTAAACAAGGAAGCCATTGTTAAGGAGATTAAAGGAGAAATTATGGAATGCATAAAAGATAATATGACTGGTGAAGTGGACCCAACCATTGTATGGGACACAGTTAAAGCAGTAATGAGGGGGAAACTCATTTCAAGAACAGCTTTTCAAAAAAAGGTGAAGAGGTCAAATTATGATGAACTAGAGAAAACACTGAGAGAATTAGAGAAGCAACAATCAAAAGAATGGGACCAAGAGCTGAAAAACCAAATTAAGAAAAATAAAAGATCAAGTAAATAACATTCTGAACGAAGAATTGGAAAAGAAACTGAGATTTATTAAACAAAGCTTCTACGAATCAGGCTCCAAAGCGACAAAAATTCTAGCCAAACGTCTTAGGGCTCAACAAATTAAAAATACATTACAGAAAATTAGAGACCCTACAACTAATAAAATAACCTATGAGCCGGATGTTATCCACAAAATATTCCAAAATTATTATGAAGTTCTATACTCGCAGCCCAAGACTGTAGACGACGAAAATATTATACAGTATTTGTCATCAGTAGATCTTCCCTCCATAGGGAAATCTCAATATTATAGTTTAATTGCTCCCATTGCAAAGCCAGAACTGGACAGGGCTATCAATAAACTGAAAGCAAACAAATGCCCTGGAAGTGATGGCTTTCCAAACGAATGGTATAAGATTTTTAAGGAAGACCTCGCTCCTATTATGTTACAATCATTTAACTGGACTCTTACAAAAGCGGTTGCACCACCATTATGGAAAGAGGCTGTTATATCAGTCATTCCAAAAGATGGGAAAAATAAAGAAAATTGCGGTTCATACCGTCCAATCTCTATACTAAATGTAGATTACAAGTTGTTTACATCTATTATCTCGAAAAGAATTGAACATCTCTTGCCTGACTTTATCAACGAGGATCAGACAGGGTTTATAAGAGGCCGTCAAACTCAAAACAACACCAGACGAACTTTACATATCATAGAACAGATTAATAAAAAAACATCTAAATGCAGTTCTGGCCAGTTTAGATGCAGAAAAGGCCTTTGATAGGGTCTGTTGGCCCTTTTTGTATCGGGTGCTAGAGAGGCTGGGCTTTAGTTGTCAATTTGTCAGATGCATACAGGCTCTTTACAGAAATCCTACGGCTAGAATAAAAATCAACGGCCATCTGTCAGGCAGCTTTAAGCTATACAGAGGCACTCGCCAGGGTTGCTGTCTTAGCCCCACACTCTTCGCGATCTTCATCGAGCCCCTAGCACAGAGTATCAGACAAAATAAAGAGTTGAGAGGAATCAACATAGCAAACGAGGACCATGTAATAGGACTCTTTGCGGATGACATTATTATCTACCTGCAGAACCCTAACTTAACGCTGCCTAAACTCATGGAGTCTTTAGATGAGTATGGTGAAATGTCAGGTTATAAACTGAATATAGCCAAGACACAAATTCTCTCTTTTAATTACACTCCGAGTAAGGATATTAGGCTGAAGTATAAAGTTAAGTGGTAAGCAAAATCCATAAAATACTTGGGAGTGTTTATTAGTCAAAATCTTGGTAAACTACATGAAATAAACCACAAAATCATAAATGACAAGATACAGGAGGATATTAAGAAATGGTCCACACTGGGGTTAGATTTTACTTCAAGGATTGAGGCAGTGAAAATGAACGTGCTGACAAGGTTGCTGTACCTTTTTTTGTCTCTACCTGTGAGAATCCCAGATTCACAGTTTTCAATGTGGGACAAACAGTTATCAAGGTTTATATGGGCTGGAGCGAGACCAAGGGTAAGATTCAGAACACTTCAGATTGACAGAGAACATGGAGGTCTTGCAGTACCAAATCTAAAGGAATACTATTATGCCGCCCAGATGAGATATCTTGTTTACTGGTGCTCTCCGGAGTACCAGGCTAAGTGGAAACACATTGAATTGAACATGGATGATCCTCAACCACAAACCAGGTTAGGTGTGAAAGAACACACAGACCATAGGGAAGAAAGCTTAATCCTGGAAAATGCATTAAACAATTGGTTTGAGGTAGTTAAAAAATATAAATTAGAAGGGGACAGTAAACTTTTAATTTGGCCTTCTCGAACATCCCAGTTTAGCCCCGGAGAGACTGACAGCACATTCGCAAGGTGGAGTGATAAGGGGATTACAGCGAGTGTACAGCTGTGTACACTCCTAGAGGGAAAAACTTTCAAATCTTTTGAAAAACTCAAAGGTGAATTTGATTTGGACAACGGTGACCTGTTCAGATACTTATAGCTAAGACATTTTAACGAGACAGAAATTAAAAAAGGAATCTCTGAAGAAGGAAACGCAGTGATTGAAATATTCACTAAAGCATATAAATGTACACCTGTAAAGATTGTCTCTAAGCTGTATAGAGGCCTACAAAAACAAAATGGTAAAAACACATTGTATGTGAAATCAAAATTGGAGCTGGAATTGAACACTGAACTGTCCGAGGTTGATTGGCATTCTATCTGTAGAACCCAGCAGACTTCTACGAGCTCCAAAAGATGGAGAGAGTTTGGCTGGAAGAACTTAATCCGCTTTTTTATCACACCACACATAAAACATAAACAATTAGGTGAACAACAACAATGCTGGAGGGGCTGCGGGCAGATGGATGCTAATCACACTCATATTTTCTGGTTGTGTGTAAAATTGCATGGGGTTCTGGGAAAGAGTGACTCAGATTCTGGAAGAAGTCTTTTCCTATAAGATACCCAGGGACCCCTGGATACTGTACCTGGGTCTGGCCCCACAAGGAACCATCCAAAAGAAGGACATGTATCTTTTCAAAATACTGATCTTGGCATGTAGAAAGGCCATAACAAGAAACTGGCTGAAAAATGACTCTCCAAGCCTAGGACAGTGGTTGGGCATTGTTGAGGAGATTTACTCGATGGAACGACTGACTTACTACCTCAGAATGAAAGCAGAGCTCTTGGATTGACAGTGGCACAAATGGACTGTATATATGAAAAAAGAAGGGTCTAATGTTCTACAGACCTAATAGACCGTGAATAAGGCTGCATCAAGAGCGGTGTGCCCCACTTCCACTTTTTATTTTATTTTCTAGTTTTTTTTATTTATTTATTTCTATTTACCTTTGCCGTTTATGTAAAAGAAAAAAGCAAATAAATAAAAAGTTTCAAAAAAAAAAAAAAACTTTTAGGGCTTCTATTTTCGTGTCCGCCAGTGACGCGGCGGAGGGTGGCGAACCCTGTGCAGTGGTATTTTCATCTGGCGGAGCCCAGTGTACAGCCGGTTGGGTTTTTTCGTGGACTGAGGTGCACCGAGGTCCACCAAGCTTGGCGTGGTGGCATGGCAGAGGGAGTTGTCGACGGAATCAACTACCACAGTAACATTTTCGTGTTGCCGGTGGTGTATAAAATGTGCTGAAAGCTCGCTGATTCAAACCTGGTCAGCTTTTAGTGCAGGCGGAGCGCAGCTGGTCTAGAGGTATTTTGGCAGACCGGCGGCGTATCAGCATACGTCACCGATGCGGATTGTGGATTTTCTATAAACTTTTTCTGAGGAAGAGTCAAGTACATATGAACTTGACCTGACTGTACTTTTAAAGGCAAATTGCAAGCTTCCTGATGAAATACAACAGGCTTTATCTCAAATAAAAAATACATTTGGTGGGGACCACAACTTTTTTTTTTAAATCAATCTTACAATGTGATGCATCTAAAGAGCACTTAAAAAGTCTAAAACTAACTGTTACTTATTCCTTACTGCTGACTCAGGCAATGTAATACAGCCTACTTACAGTATAGCATATTAATATGTTTATCTGTTCTTGTACATTTAAAAACCACATTTCCACACCTGTATCAGGTCCATCGACAAGCTCTTTATGGGCTCCTCTACTGCTTCTCACTTGGCGCTAAACAGCTCCCGGATTTTTGTGGTCATTCTGTCCGGCTGGGCAATAGACATCAGTTCTGGTACAATGGCAGTGCACCTTCGGAACTCTTCCTTGATCTGTATGACAATAATTGTGTGGCTGTAACTTGATACACATTTAGCAAGTGTGAATGTTTAGCAGACTTTGATTCTTATGCAAAGATATCTTTCCAGATAATACATATTATAAATCTCAGGAATTTGGTACATTTAATTTAATTAAAAAAGCCTTATGTTACCAGGAGCAGTGTTCATACACTAATGAATCATCACGAAAAGCAGACATGATTGCTTCATGCATGCCACATGTGAAACACTGTGCTCCATGCACATGTGTTTGCATATACAATTACATATACACATTTTATTTTTTGCAAATATGCAAGACCAACAGTATCTATGGCTAGACTATAGCAGGACTTTAGCAGTGTTTCACTAGAGTTGCCAACTTCCAGAGATTCAAATAAGGGACACTTCCCCGCAATCGAAAAAAAAATGGGTTTTTGGGAGGTCAAAAACATAGATAACAGCTTTTTAGCACAGTTATACCTATTACACACTATACAAACACAAGCAATGGGCTACTGCATTACACTTACTGGAACATGATTGTAATAACAACTCATATTTTTCCTACAGTAATAACAAAAACAATGGAATGCTTCAACCATACATCAGTTAATGACCCCATGGCATGTCATGATCAGTTTGATCAGTTTTGTATTTAAGGCATACATGTGAGACGGTCACCATTAAAGTATTTATTTTTTGGCAAAATGTGCAAAATAACAATTATCAAGTTTCTTCTTACATCAATTTGAATATTTTTTTAGTTTTATAACAATGTAACAGCAGCAAACAATGTAATAGTAGGCCTAATAGTGCTATACTATATGTTATGAAAATATTTGGGATTATAGCCTACTTATTTGTAAACTTAACTCAATTTCTTTTTTATTTCCAAGTTAAAAAAAAGTGCGAAATCACAACTGTAAAATCTTTTGAATAAAAAAACAGCAAGGTTCTGCTTTGAGTGCAATAGCTTAACTGAAAACACACACACACACACACACGCACACACACACACGCCTGCCTTCTCCCTATCTGGGGCTCTCCTTAAGACTTAAGTGTCCATCATTGGGAAGTTGGGGTAGTCTGTGACAGATTAGTCCTGATTGATAAGAAAGAAAATAAAACAAAATAAAAACAAATTAGGAGAGTGTAAAAAGCAGAGCCCAAATAGTAACAATAATAGAATAGTAAAAATAAAACACTTACTCACTGGTTTATTTGTCCAGGGATATTTCTTACTGCTTTTAACAGCACCCAGCAACTCTTTGTCTTTTTGTGTAGCAACACAAAAGTCCTTGCAGGACATGTACATTGTTCACAGAAATCTGCAGCTCACTTTTGATGAGTTCTGTGCTGCAGCAATTTCTGGCATCGGTCTACCTGTTGGCCATATGTGCCAGCGCTCATTATTCACATTTCTATTCCCCTTCCTCGCAAACAGAGCACAGTACGGTGTGCACGCACACATACACACACAGAGACTGAGTCACACAGACACAAGCACGTGAGCGCTGCTGCTGTGCCTGCCTGCCTACCCTGTCAACTGAGCGGTCCTAGTGCCCTTTTTATACAGGCAGCCAGACACACAATGCATGGTGCACAAATAAAAAAATAAAGTGCATCTTACCTTTGCCCAAACACCCTGTCCAGGATGCGCCTCTTTTGGCTCAAATACGTGATGTCCGGGACGGTTGGCAACCCTAGTGGGCATATGCATGTGTGCGCACGCGTGCGCTATACCGTGTAGCAACGACGCTGCTCTCTTTGTGATAGTACGGCAGTTCTTTTAGATGTACTGAATCACTAAAATCAGTTCACTAAAGAGAGTCATTCAAAAAGATTTGTTTACCGAATCACCCAATCATTTAGCGCCTGGTGGGAGGAGTCTGCGACTCTGACTTCCTGAACTGATACACAGCTGAAAGACTCAGGATTCAGTTCAGATCATAGCTTAAGAGGAGGATACGAGAGTGCTGTGAATGTGTTGCTATGACAAACGGGTTTGTAAAAGTGATCTTGTTTTTAAATCATAATGTTTTAAGTGTACTGTCCAATGGTATGCTATTTATCTACTCCGTAAAAATCATTAAATGTTTACCCCACAGTACATTTAGTGAAGAATTCACACTGAACATGCACTGTTCCCTCGCAAATTGCTGCGACAATAGAATCAGACAGTCACGCAGAGTTAAAAAAATAAGTTAGTTTTCTCCAAGGTACACTTGAACACTTGAGGAAGTGATTTGGTTCAGTACGTTCACTTAAAAGATGTGGTTCTTTTGAAAGAATAGTTCGCTGACGAGGGTTATGACCCTGGACCTGGTTATGACCTGGACCTGGTCATAACCCATGGCCTGTTCATTGGAGTGTCCTCTGTTGTCAACCTGGCTATGTCTGACTACTACTGTGTATTTTTTAACATCACCAGTTTTACCAAGAGGAGGCCCCCCTGAGAACAGTGAGAAAGCGCTATCTTACTTCTGAAATTGCTGCAAATTTTATGGAGATTTTACATAACACCCCTGCCGAAACTTTACCTGCACCTTGTGATTTTATTGTTGATAATTTTAACATTAGACTGAAGTCAACTCTGGACTCAGTAGCTCCAATTATAACTAAAACAATAAAAAGAAAACCTATACCCCCGTGGAGAAAAAAATGATAAGATCAACAAACCGAGTAGTGTTGTGTCATTCATGAATGTTTTGTTCAAAAGAACGGAACTGCTGAGTGAACGACGTGAACTGAATCACTGTGAGACCTGATTCGCATTTGACTCTTTGGCGAACGACAGCCAGCCAGCCAGCCAGCCAGCCAGCCAGCGGGTGGGTGGAGTCTCATGATTCACTCACAGTGAATGAACGAAAAGTATCAGTCAGTGAATGAAACAGTCAGTGAACGAAACGTCTGTGAACGACTTGTTTCAGTCAGTGAATGGAATGTTTCAGTCAGTCAGTGAACGACTTGTTTCAGTCAGTGAACGGAATGTTTCAGTCAGTCTGTGAACGACACGGTGAACGAAAGGAACAACTTCCGAATGACTTTATTCAAGCTGAGGAGGGAGGGGATGTAGTGTCGTTCACTTAATGCCCAGGACAGGTTCATTCACTGAGGCTAAGATAAACCAGTGCATTATAGTGCCTTTACATTAATACACGTGTATAAACTTTCCTGCAAGAAGGAATTAATTTCAGCCAATTTAAAGCAATATGCTATTTGATATCTTTAAAAGTAGAAGAATCCCCGCTACAGCTGCAATATCTATTTATTTCTAATCTCTCCACTTTTCAGTGATATAAAAGAATGACAACTTGTTCGACACTCGTTCAGCTGGCATGCTGCTTGCTGTTGTGTTGTTACCGCTGAGGGCGACACACAGAGAGGTGAGTTTTTCAGGGTAGGGGAGTGATTCTTCCTTCAGGACTTAACAAATGAATGACATGTGTCACCCAGTGAACAATGCTGTAACTTCAGCAGCAGAGGAGGGGAGGGGCTCATTCAATGAACAAACTCGCTGCCGTGTCACTCACTCGTGCACCGGCAGGATGGGGCTCCAAAGCATTGACTGATTCAATGAACGAATCTTTTGAATGAACCTATTAATGAACAGATTCTAAAGATTCAGTATAGTCAAGAGAACTGTTCTTTCCATCACTAGAACTGAAAAGGAAATGTAGGAGTGCTGTGAGAAGATGGTGAAAAAGTAAATTGACAATTCATTACGAGATTTTACACCAACAACTTAAAACCTACAATAATGCAGTCAAAAAGGCACGAATTTGCCATTTCTCACAACTCATCACCACAACCTATCAATCAATCCCCGGCCTGTGTCCCAGCAGCGTTTGCCCACGGATCTGCCCTTTTAATCCACAGCCATCTTGTGGCTTTCTCTGCGGCATCAGTTGCGGATCTGATAGCCTTCCACTTTGCCTCCGCGACGAGTCCCAGCCATGTGAACACTCTGCAGAGTGAACGCCCTGCAAATCCCTGGGAGCCCACCTTGCCTCCTGCACTCTTCCACCAGCTCCTGGTACTTGGTGCGCTTCCGCTTATTGGCCTCATCCATGTGTTCCTCCCATGGCACAGTGAGCTCCAGAATAATCAGGTGCTTGGTGGAATCCGAGACAATGATCATGTCTGGGTGAAGCCTGGTTGAAGTAATCCTGAGAGGGAACTTGAGTTGTCTGTGCAGGTCCACTTCCAGTTTCCAGTTGTTGGCAGATGCGAGGAGGCTGGACTTTGCCCGTGGTGGTATGATGGGCTTCTCTCCAGCTCTGTGGAACGTGATGGTCTTCGTTCTGTGGTGGCCTTTGTTGGTGTACCAGCACCTGGTCATGGCGCCAGCGATAGCGCCTTTCTCCAAGGGCTTTGGGGCAGCTGCTGAGTAGGTGCTCCAGGGAGCCCCGACCTGAGCAGCAGGGACAGGATGGTGTTTCTGTTTTACACCAGACGTGGAGGTTTCGCTGGGCTTGGAAGGACGTTATAAACAGCCTGGACTAAAAAACTGATTTGGTGAAAGTCTGCTTTCCAGATGTTGGACCAGGTGATTTTTCATTGCGGAACATTCTCCCATTTAGTCCACGCTCTTTGTTGCCCCATTCCCACCATCCTGCTAGCTTGTACTTCCTCCATGCCTGCCCGCACCTTCTCCTGGATCAGATGTTGGCGCTCCTTGACCTGGGAATTGTCAACTCTGGTCGATGGAATGTAGCCAATGCCTGCACACCCTGTTGCTGCGGACCCCACCAGTGCCTTCTGCCTCAGCTGAGACTCTGCCACATCCAAGGCTTTGGCTGCACTTTGGCTGCACTCTACTTCCTGCCTGTTTGCACCTGAATACCTGGGCTGCGTGGCAGACTGAGCCATCTTCACAGGAAGCTGCTGATCTTTCTCTCCATGCCCTCGATTGTTGTTATAGGTACTGTGTACACTAGCAGAGGCCACAGGATGTGGGGCAGGGTAGAGTGCTGGTAAATCCAGGCCTTGAACCTCCCTGGCAGGCCGGTTTTGTCGATCCGGCTAAGCCAGACCTCAAGTTCTTTGCTGGTTCTCTGGATGGAGGCGGAGTCTTTGAGGCTACAGTCAAAGTACTTCCAGAGGCTCCTAACTGGCTTTTCTGTAATAGATGGGATGGTGGTTCCAGCCAGTGAGAAGCGGAATCTGTCCACTACTTTCCCTCTCTTAAGCACTAGGGACCTTGATTTTGCTGGCTTGAAACTCATCATTGCCCAAGTGATGAGCTTCTCTAGGCCTTGGAGAATCCACCTGCTTCCTGGTACAGATGTGGTGGTGACAGTCAGGTCATCCATGAAGGCTCTTATTGGGGGCTGGCATACTCCTGATGTTGTCAAAGGGTCCCTGCACTCTACCTCCACTGACTTGACCATCATGTTCATGGCGAGGGCAAAAAGGATGACTGAGATGGTGCAGCCAGTTATAATGCCTTTCTTAAGCCGATGCCAATCTGATGTACCTGATCCAGTGGTGAATCTTAGCCTGAAGTTACCGTAGTAGTCCAGAATAAGATCTGAGACTTTGCTGGGAACATGATGTCGGTGGAGGGCAAGCTCTACCAGCTTGTGTGGGATGGAGGCATATGCATTGGCGAGATCAAGTCACAGCACAGTGAGATCCCCTTTCCGACACCAGTATGTTCCAAGCAGCCAGGCACCCCAGGGATTCCACCCTTCTGGACAGCGGTGTCAATGTAGCTGTTTTTCAGAAGGGAC